TGGCTGCCGGGGCAGGGTCGCGAGCGGCCGCGCGAGCAGCGGGTGAGGCAGCGCGGCGGCCGCGGCGGCGGGTGAGGCGAGGGGGGTGACGGCGGCGGTAGTGGCGGCGGCCGCGGTTCTCCCTTTTCCATTGGGTAGCCCCTTCCTTCCTCCTGGGCATCACTTTCCTTCCATCTGGGCGGCCCCTCTTGGTGCTGCCGATCCCGGGCGAGGGGCGGTGCGGGAGGGGAGGCTTGCCTGAAACCACGTACAGGCCGCTCGGGGCGGCCCCGCCGTCCCCGGGTAGGGCAGGTGCCGGCAGGACCGTGGAAACGCCTCGAGGTGCTGGGCCGAAGCTTCTGTTCGTGCAGGGGAACTGCTGTGACGAGAAGGTGACAGGTCACGGGAAATAATGTAAATACAAGATCATGTGGAGATAATATGGGAAGTTTTTTAAGGACGCTTTAAAATCGAGAGTTGGCGTATAAGAGGAAAAATGAGCCCTAAGGGGCATGGTGTTTTTATTTCTCTTTTCTGTAAACTTACACTGCTTGCTGTGTAAGTTTACAGAAAAGAGAAATAAAAACACCATGCCCCTTTAGTGATACTGTTGCCGCGTTCAAGTTCTTCTATAGTGGTCATAAATGAGTAACTTGCTGGGTGCGTGTTTTCATTTTGTTTAACGAGCTGTTGAAATTTCAAATACTGAGGGTGATTAGAGTTTGAATGCTGAAATCAATCGCTGTGCATTGATCTCTGCCTGACAGCGTCAGCAGTACTTCATTAATATTAACATGCTGTCCTCAGAGTGCTCTGCAGCTCTTGTGAAGGCAAGACTTACAAAGATTAAATGAACAGGAATTACGTTTTCTGATCCCCACTGGTTTTTACCTAGGTGATGAGTCAGCTGAGCTATCTGCCCATCAGGTCTACTACAAGTTCTGGTTACTTGTTGCTGAATGCAGATAATGTGCTTTTTAGGGGTCACTAGCTAAAATATGATTGTTTTGTGTAGGAACTCAGCATTGTTACTCTGAGAGATATCTGGGGGGAAAATTGGACATTTTAAATGCTTTTTCAGACAAACACACACACAGAGAGATATCTAGGGGGAAAATTGGACATTTTAAATGCTTTTTCAGACAAACACACCCTTTTGTTTGCAAGACTTACCTGCTGTTGTCTCTCAAAGCTGTAGCAGAAAGACTGAAATTCACAGCAGCTGGTGGGGTGGTCGGTCTGTCTGTCCGTCAGGGAAGTGCCGGTGTTTGGCTGTCTCTGTCACGTAATACCTTGTGGTCTATAGGTGTTGAAGGGTTTCACTTACCTCTCAGTGGTATCATAGTGCACTGTGCAGGTATGATCATTGCTGAGCAAAAGCTTTTGATTAAACTAGTGCTGAAACATGGATATTTATTTTTTCTCTGTCCTTAGTTGGCAAGATGGGATAGCATGAATGGAATCTGATTAATAGGGTTTTTTGCATGTTCAGGTAAATATGATGGGGCTGTATTTTTAAGAAAGCTTTAGCAACTTCTGTTGCAAGTAGGTATGATTTTCAATTCCTGCTTTAAATTTCGTACCAGTACTAGCTTAGATTGTCCTTGCAGTATTTACTGACTTTTATGTCTCTCTTCATATCTTTCCAGACAGGTGTTTCTGTTAGTACTGGGGTGCTCCATTATTTGTAGCTTCCACATCAAAAAACAGACTCCTCTTTCTGGCTATATAAGCTCTGCCAAATGCATGTTTACTTTGCTTGTAGCTGGTCTGTGTCAGTTTGGGACAGAGTCTGGTCCTTTATCCAAAGATTCTCCTGCCCATTTGGCTGTTGTGATAATGGGGGGTTTTTTTGGTTGGTTTTTTTTTTTTTTCTTTATCTTCCTTTATTACTTTTTAGTAATGTTTCCTTGTGGATGTAATTTTATTAGATGGACTTGGGTCATAATTCAGTCTAAAAGACTGAGTAGATACGCTTGCCCTAGTTCTTGCTCAAATAAGGAGGAGCCTGGTCTTTTTGCATTTCATTTTTTATGTGGCTGGTATTCCTTTGAACCTATGCTTCTTTGAAAATGTTACACTTCTTAAAGTTATGCCTTTTGAATTTAGAGACTACACCTTTCATTTTTCAGATTTCATACCTTTGTTTATTCTTTGTTAAGGCTAATCTCCATCAATCCCATTAAGTCATTCTCTTTTATGTTTGTATGGACCTTAAGTGAATGAGAGAAAGCTTCAGTAAAAAAAATATGAATGTCATAAATCTTTTAAAGAGCAAGAACTCATCCTTTGAAGGGGACTTGGATAAATACAACATTGCAAAAACTCATAGAAGAATTTCAATTTGAAAGCAGTTGCATCTGATTTTCTTTTAATCTTTCGTGTGTAGGACTCACTAAAAAGCCTGGCAAAGGGCTTCTGTTCATATTTACTGGATATTATACCTTATGTGTAGTGATTCCAGAGCTTTTGTATTTATTTAATGAACTTTTTGTCATATATAAGTGGTATTATCTCTCAGCTTTGTAGACTTGATATTTGATATGAGAGTGTTGAACAGAGCCTGCAAAAGTGGTTGGGAAAAGTAGGGGCAAACAAGGTCCAGGGGGCTTGGAAATGTAGACCTTCTTCTTTCTAAACCAAGGAATTCCTCCACATTTCCCTATCAGTGAGAAAGTTGGTCAGCATTGCTAATTTCTGGGTTTCATTGAGAGGAACCTGTGAAATTCCAAGCCCTTCATGCTTTATGCAGTGAAATGTAATTCTTTCTGTTACTGCTCCTTGGACGTCTTGGTAATCTTGTCTTTGACTGCTGCTCATCCTTGCCATAGTTTTGCTGAGGCAGAGCAGGACCTTTTTTATGGCAATATTAGTATCACTCAGGGCTCTTCATTGTAGTAATTGAGTTATGGAAACTTTTGGGGAATTAAACTTTTTACTGTAGGTAGCACCAAGAAGAGAGAGGATAAATACCACAAAGATCACTATTTTAAAAGAGGTATTATTCTGTTTACTAAAAGCAATAAACGTTTAACTTCTGCTTCTGAAAATGACATGTATGCAGAGCACGAGAGAAGAATTTGCTAATGATTTCATTCTTGCTGTCCAGCAGTTTCTTTTGGAATGAACCCTGTCTGTTCTTGGCACATAAACCAATTGTGAAATAGTTTTGTGAAGAAAGGTATAGTGCAACATAGTCTGAAAGAAATAAGTATGAAGTTTGCCTGGAGATAATTCTGTAAACTCATAATCATATAAAAATATACTTAGGAGCGTTTTTCTTTGAGATCAGCTGGAGGTTGTTCAGACATGGTGGTTTTCCTTAGTGCCACAAACTAAGGAAAGTAATCCTGGAACTGGGTGGTACTCTGTGCTCTTACAGATTGATTTCAGTCCCTTTCTTCTGCAAGAACACACAGGTCATTGACAAGAGCTTTGATGACCCCAGTCTCAAACACTTTAAGTATTTTGGCTACAGAGGAAACGGTAACTTACAAAGTGAACTATAAATATTCACTTTACTGAAGTAGTTGTTTCATTGAATGCATGCTCTTTTGTGTTCAGTCATCAGAGTCTTGGAACCTGGAATTATAAAGGGTCATCTTAATATTTTAGGGCAGGATAAGTGTTTTGGAGTATTTCCAGTGCTTTGTGTCATCATGCTCCTTCTTTTATTCCTGGGGTTTTGAATCCCATTGACCAAGTTTCTGAAATTAATTATCAATATTTCAAAAATTTCTTTGACAAGTTTCTGAACTTTGCAAGGTGAAATTCACTGGATACTGTTGTCCTGGATGCTTATAGCTTCTCAGCCTTGTCTGTAATTGTTGCTAACACCTGTCTGTCTTGCATGCCATTGTCAGGTGAAAACACTGAATACCTACTGACTGTCCATATCACACACTGCTTTCCTTCCTGTTGCATCATGGTTGTCCCTCTTGCCTCTTACTGCTGATACATGTAGGACTTCTTTATACCAGTAAGATGGAACCGCTTTGTAGCTTGTCTTTTTTAGCTTACTACTTCATATTTATACTATTCTGTCATCCTCATATTGTGCTACTTTTTTCTACATTTGGTTTTGTGCTTTTAATTGGTTATCTTGTCAGTTTTTGTGTTGTTCTTTTACCTGTTTGCATTTAAGTTTCTTAAATTGTTGGAAACTTTCTGGACCTGATCTGATTTCACTGGAGGAAGTTCTAACACTCACTTTTCACTTCTGTCCAAATTGCCTTTATTGTTAGACTCGGACCTCTCATTTCATCAGGAACAAAACCATATTTTCTTCTCTGCCTGGAAGAAAACGTGACTCTGACTTCTTTTAAACCTATGAGCTGGCTGAAAGACCAATGTATCAGAATACAGTCATTCCTTTTAGTCCTATCACTTGCCTTTCCCAGCCAGCCCTGTCTTTGCAGTTGCTCAGCAAAACTATTACAAGTTTTGTACTTTTTTGTACCCTACCTTTTTCTTTTGTTTGAATTTGCCTTGATGCAGCTTTGTTTTTTCCTCCTTTGATTTCCCCACTGCTTGTTGAACAAGTCTGGACTTTGGAATGAGGTGGAGTGTGTCCCATGTAATCACACCTCTGGAACAGGTTTCCCCTTTTAAAGGAGCATTCCTCTCTTTTATGTCACTGCATGCTGCAGTGCCAGATACGATGCCCATCCAGTGTGAGGCATTGTATTCTTCCTGTTTTAAGAACACTGCAGGTGCAGTGAGATCCAAGATCCATACAGTGGGTTGTGTAAGGGAAGAATAACAGATGCCTAAAGGAATAATAGGTCAAGTAGATGGTAATGTTTCTCTAACAGACTTCTCCAGCATTCCATAAAGAAGTCCATGACTTATTTATTTACTATGAATGAGTGTAGCTTGTATTCATGGCTGTTTGGTAGCTAGCCCATTATTCTTCCCTATTGTTTTTCCTATAACAGTTGCCATTTTCATTCTAATCTCCTGGTGTAGATTAATAGTTTCTTCTGAGCTTAGTCACAAACAAAAGAAGATCCTGTGATGATGAGAAACTAATATCAACTGTCTTTTAAGCCTGTCTAAAAAAAGATAACTGTAAGATTGTACTGTTTCTGCCAAGTTTCCACAAGAGGTACGTTATTACTAAGGAACTATAAACTGTTGAAATAAATTTGTAATGGAAACAATGATGGTTTAACTGTAGGGCTTGTTTGGCTTCTCCAAACAGCAGGGCTTTTCCATCTCCTGACTTTCAAACTTCCCAAGTCCAGTTCCTTGCTGCTGCATTGCTTTAGTCATCCCTGTCTGTTTATAGAGTGACTGCAGCAACACCGTTGTTCATACTACAAATACCTTGCTCAGGGTGGATCAACAGAGTGTTGTTTCCAGCCTGCTACACAAAAGAAATGTAAACCCAAATCTGTGGCTTCCTTTCCTCGTTTTGGTGGCATACACTTCTCAGTGATGTCCAGGTTATGACTGGTGTAGAACACAGTTAAAGAAAAAGTACACTGTCTTTGCTAGAGGAGCAATAAAACCATCTTGAGTCAAGTGAATGGAAGTGTATATAAATGGACAAAATTTGAAATCTGTCTGATCTTATAAACTGCTTGAATATTTTCATGTCCTACATCTGCAGTATTTCATGTCATTTTCCTGCATTAGTCATTTTTCCATGTTTCCTTTTTCTCCTTAGTTGTAGGAAAAAGGAAGGAACAACAAAGCTGTCAGAGAATGTGAGTCAGGAGAGGTGATCAGATTTCTGCAGTCTGTTCCTGCATAGAAATGAGTTTTAGATATGAGTATGGCACTTCAGTCTTAGTGCTAATCCCCATCTGCAGGCGTTCCATAGGGCTTGATGCTCACTTAGAGTCGTTGAACGCCATCATCTGTCCAAGCTCAAGTGAGCAGTCATTTCACCAACTTTTTAATTGTTAACTTTACAACAGTTTGGATTTCTTTCCAGTACCTGAAGGGGACTACAAGAGAGCTAGAGAGGAACTTTTTTCAAGGGCATGCAGTGATAGGACAAGGGGTAGTGGCTTTAAGCTGAGAGAGGATGGGTTTGGATTAGATATGTACCGCCATGAGGGTGCTGATGCACAGAAACAGGTTGGTGGGAAAAATTGTGGATGCCCCATTCCTGGAAGTTTTCATGGCCAGGCTGAATGGGGCCCTGTGCCAACCTGATAGTGGAAGATGTCCCTGCAGATGGCAGCAGGGCTGGAACTGGTTGACTTTTGAGCTCCCTTCCAACTCAAACAATTCTATGATTCTATAAAAATAATACTTCTAAAAAGTCACTGTTACCTGTATTAAGTAGATGCCTTCTGAACACCTTTGCTTTGCAGTACAAGGTATTGGTGTCATCTAATATGTCTTGTATCTAAAGCTTGTTTTTTTAGTAATCTAACAGTTCACTTCTGTACATGTTCCACAACATGCATCTCAAATTCTTATGTGTCTCGTTTCAGAACTACTATGGAACCTTGGCAGCCTTGTAGGTTTGGAAGGCTTAAATCCAAGTTCGGAAAGGCCTTTTCCAGTCCTGATGATTTGCTGGCTGAAGCGCTTAATTAGGATGGCTTTTGAGCAAATTGGATTGAACATGGAATCAGTAAGTGTTTCAAATTTCCTTCGTGTTTTCAGAAAATAAGGTATAGCAAGCGCTTCATGTGTTTTAGTTTGTGCTTATCTAGAAGAACACTTCAAGTACACTCAATACTGGAATGATTCTGCATTGCTGAAAAATCAATTTTATGACTTGAACACTGAAATATGGAGTAATAAATGTGTTAAAAGTGCTACGCAGTTCCTTCTGGTTCTAATAAACTGTTTACTTTGTAAACACTGCAGTTCATGCTGGACTTCCGTGTGTGTTTTGAAGCTGAAGGAGAATTCCATTATTTTTAACAGTGATAAAAAAATAATCTTATTTCTTGTTCTTACACTGGAGATACAAAAGCCCCATGAAACTGAGATTATTATAACTGTGCTACTTTTACCTCTTGTGTGCTATAGTTACCTCTTCTGGAGGTGTAACAGTACATGAGAGCAATGCAGCTGTGTGCTTTACTGGGTAAACAGAGGAACAGGCCTGCATAGCTCTCCTCTTGGAGGAGACTATATAGAGAGTTTTCTTTGAATGCTGAGCTGAGAGAGACAGAGAACTGCTACACATCAGCTTCTCTGTCACTGACCTTTAGGAAGCTATTTTGAGTACAAATGTTGACTTCAGTGCAGTAATCCCTGTAAGTTTTTGAAGTATTTTAATGTTTTAAGAATGGGCAAATCCTTAACAGCTATGTGCAGTGTTTAGTCAGTATTATGGTGGTAGAACCTTTTATCAGTCTTGGGAATCTATGGAGAGCAAATTGTTTATACAGTGTAAATGAAGATTGACAACAAGAATCTGTATTTTATTTGAGTTTTGATCTGAGATTCCATGTCACTTTGAAAATTCAAAGTATGAGAATATGTTGCATTATAACACTAGTAATTCAGCAGTTTCAGCCTAAATGGGGAGATAAACAAGTTTTTAATCTTTTTCTCTCCATTCTCTACTTATATCAAGCTTGTCATAATGCAGTTGCATTTCCAAATGTCATTTTTTCTAGACAACAGCAAAGCACTGATGCAATAGCAGTGTATGACTAAGTAGCATTTTGCAGACTTGCTCAGCCAGTGCTTCAAGTCAACAAGAAGTTGTGTGAACTTGGTCAGAGCAGTGCTGAGACCTCATCTCAGCTGAGCAGGGAACTGATTTTACTTGCACCCTTTGTGGCACAGTTTGCATTCAGTGTTCTGAAAATAATGTCCTGGCATATCTTGTATTACCAAAACTGAGTCATTCAGCGTTTTGGTGCACCAAATCACTGTTGTTGAAGAGTCCCGAGGGCATTTGGAAACCAAATATTTTTGACTGCTAGTCAACAACTTGTCTGTGGTCTGAGCAATATCTAAACAAGTTTTGCTGCTTGTTTAAAATGAATTGCACTTGTGTTGGTAATACAGCATGTAGTCTAGATTGTCTTGCTGTTGTGGAAGCACTTCTGCAACTTAATAAGCCTTCTTTTGGCTGTCATTATTTGTTACAATGCCCCATCACTTTGAGTCTCTTCCCAACAGTTCTGCTTTAAATCAGAATCACTTGTGAATAATGAGACTGTTACTGTGGTGCTGTTTTTCAGTGAGTTGTTTTTGAAGGCCACTGATCTACCTGCTGTTTGCTCAGACATGTAAACAAATAGGTGATAGGCACAAATGTGAGATCTTGGTTGAGGCAACCAAAATGCAGCATCAATAGACTACTCTGCATTGAAAGATTTGTGTTCAGCTTAGCAGTGTATAAAGCAAGAGAATGTATTTTTTTATAGAATGGAAAAAAATAGATTTAAGTGTATTTGTGGCAAAGTTGCAGCTCTCTTGTGAGGATGTAGTGTAGCATATGTGCAGTGCACATTTATTTTGTCAAAATTTTCACATTCCAGTAAAGCCAGAGGAAGGAAGGGCAGAAATTAGAAATAGGCATGTTTATGTGAAGTTTGTGAAATAATCTGGGGGATCAATACCATGGAACATAAACTTCCCTTTTTAAGAGAACCTTCAGCATCTGTGAGTAGAGATCTTTGCTTAGTATATTGAAATATTCAGCTGTGTGTTATGCAGCTCCCACAGCACTGCTACAGTCATCATACAGGCAGTATTGCCATTGCCAATCAGAACAGCCTGGATTTTTCCTATTTTCTTTGTTGGGCAATCTTCTACCAGGATGTCAAGTTTGCTTAAAGCTTTTTTAAAAACTAAAGTCTGACTAGTAAATTCATATTTACAGCCATAATTAAACACTGGCCAAGGTTTGAAAATTACCATACAGTGTTCTAATTGTTTACTAACAATGTACCCTGTGTTAGAGTCTTCTCATTATTCTTTTTCTCTTTCTTTGCATTGTTTTTGTTGCTTTTGCCTGTGCTGAAATCTTTCCTACTTCTCTCCGGGGTGTTTGCTTCTTTTCTGGCTCATTTTGCAGTATTCTCCTAGGATTAAACTCCCATTTTATTTCCTTTCATAAGGCTGTTGTAAATACTAAATACAACAAAAAGAAGCAAATTTAATCCCTGTTGAAACAACATAGAGAAAATGTAAATTGCAGTAGAAACAGTTGTAATGAAGCCTAGTGTGTTGAGCTGCTGTGGGCAGTTTTCTCTAGGTGAGTCTATTTTTTTGGGAGCAGGGGACAGTTTCTTCCTTACAAAAATTTTGTCTTATTTTCTCCATTTTACTTTACTTTGCTCTTTAATTTCACAGTTATATTTTCACATTTATTGTAGCTGTATGAATACTTACATAATACTTATATAATACTTATATGTATGTATGAATACTTATATTCATTAAGAATGATAGACATGATTCCTGTTTTAGAAGAGCTCTTAATTAAAAAAGAAAAAAATATTTTGAGACATTAAGAACTATGTGACTTCAAGAATTTTTAATGAATGGGTGGCTGTTCTTGAAACCCTATAAAAAGAGGTGTCTCGCTGAATGCAGGTTCTTTATTGTCTTGAAAATTTGAATGTTGTGTTTTTGAAGATACTTTCAGCTCCTGAAGTCTTCTGCATTACCTGATGTATTGTTTTGGCTTCAGACTTTATACAAAGGCTGTCTTGACCTTAAGCACCCCTGGCTGTACTGTACTGATGATGTGTTTGTGCCAGTTCGGGGATAGAATGTAAGGAGTTCACTGGGACAGAATTCAGTGTATAAACATTATATCCTACTCCAGCATGAAAGGAATTGCTAAATATGTTTAGCAAAAGCATGGTATAGAAGAATAAGGGAGAGCTATTACAATATGGTACAAAACTCAGTTCCCTTAACAGCTGGCTTCTTTATTTTTCCCATGCAGGTGCTTTGGTCAAGCAAGCCTTATGGTTCATCTCGAAGTATTGTAAGAAAAATTGGTACTAACCTCTCTCTTATACAGTGTCCAAGAGTTCACTTTCAGGTAGGTGTTCTCAGCAATTTAGAATCTGTTTCTCACTAGACTGGTAAAGGGATTTGCTCATGACTAGAAGATTTGTAAAAGTAGGATATGATAAACTAGGTATAGGAGAATTAGCCTACTTTTCTCTACTTCCAGTTCAGATTTTTTTCCAAATAAGAAATTTGAAAAAAATTCATAAAAGAGAAAAATGATTGAAAATTCTTTATATAAGCAGTACTTACAAGCTAGGCTTAAGAGGCGTGTAAAGATGAACAGTATTAAAAATACTTGGGAAAATAAACAACTTTATCAGAAATCAAAAAATTAGTTACAAGATAAGATGAGTACCCTGTTTGCTTTTTTTTAAAATACAAGGCTAGCACTGTGTAGGTGAAAGGGTAGGGTAAAGAGCAAGTGTAAAAGCTTAAGGAAGAGAAAACCCATGCTTTCATAATGAGTCTTTCAGGAACAGATGGGAAAGTGGAAGCTGTTACACATAATCTCTTCAACTCTGGTGTTAGGGGTAGGGGGTGGGTATAGAATTGGAGACATTTAGTGTTTGAAATTCAAGCTGAGAGAGGAATGTTTCGTGGGCTGAGCAAGGGTGGGGAGTGTAAAGATGAATGGAGGGAATCAGCTGCCACACTTAAGATATAGTAATTTTCACACTGCTAAATTTTTCAATGTTTAAATTAATTTCTTTATCATAAATGAAATGTATGAACAATATTTAGACTTGAAATTACAGTAGCAAAACCAGATAGTTAGATCACCATAGAAGCCTTATTGGTGTGATAGTAAAAGCCATGGTAACATTTTGCCTCTCATAAAAAATTACATTGAGAAAACTGGGACAGCCATCTCACATTTCTAGTTGCTTGATGGGCTTGAAATTACAGTAGCAAAACCAGATAGTTCAGATTACCATAGAAGCCTTATTGGCGTGGTAGTAAAAGCCATGGTAACATTTTGCCTCTCATAAAAAATTACATTGAGAAAACTGGGACAGCCATCTCACATTTCTAGTTGCTTGATGGGAAAAAAAAAAGAATGTGGAATTTTGTGCAGGTGAGGACAACAAACGACATACTGGATTAAACTTTTGAATATATAATTAGTAATATATAATTATTGAGTATATAATTAGTAGGTGTTTTGCCAGCAAGAAGGCTCCCTGTGCCTCAGATTTAAAAGGTAGTGAAGTCCTCCTGTGTGTTTGATTCTCTGTGCTGTAAAGGCCATACAAGGGAAGAAAATGCTCATTTGCAGGTAGTTAGCCTAATGCTGACTTCTCTTAATATGGTACATAAAAGAAGACATTTCTGGTTTATGTTCTTGCAAGGAATGGTAAGATATATCTGGGGAATCTGTTCCTGATTATTTTTAGTATTTAAGCAAATAAATAAATACATAAATATGTTTTGGTCAGGAGTCTGTTAGAATAAATATAATACTTGCCTTTTTTGTCCTCTTAAAGAGACATTCATTCAGCTTTGTGGGTACACTAAGTATAAGCATTCACCTTCTGTGAGATGAAAGGAGAGGATCCTGAAAACAGAAGTACAGTTGTGAGAGTTGATTTAATTAGAAATAGGAGTTCCAAAATTGGAGCCTTGAAACACATTAAAATTTGTATGGTTTGTGCAGATTCTAAACTATTTTAATATATAAACTGCTGAACATGTTAAGTGTGATGCTAACATCTGTTCTTTGTGTCTTTATCTCAGCGTTAAGATTCTTTAGTGAAGTTCAGTACTGATCTCGATTGCTTTCATGCTGTTGCAACTGACACTTTCCTATAGCTGTCTCTTCCTCTTTCTCTCTTGCCAGCTTTAGCTCTATTATGAAAGGACCATGAACTGAACCTTGCTGTAAGTCATTCTATTTAAAAAAACAAATCAAATCTTACTTGCATCATCTGAGGGTGCATGTATGGAATCAGTGTTTCTTACCCCAGGGCATCAGGCTTTTCACAGGTCTGCATTTTCCTTATGATAAATAAGGAAATGGATGAGACTCACTGAAATAATATCTCTGTATTGTCCATACTTACCTTCTAGCATGCTTTTGTTCAGCTAGTCTGAAAAAAAAAAATAGTAGCCAAACATTTTGATCTTTGAATACTGCTGACTCTGTAGAACTTGCCATAGTCAACATTTAAATTAACTGCTAAATACTGAAATGCAGCTTACATATTCAGTAGGAGGTGGCAGAGCTTATGTACCTTATGCACTCTGTATGGCATGAACAAATGAAAATAGTTCATATAGATATTTTGTGTCATATTTCTTAGATTTATATGTAGTATTTAGGAGAAAATAAAATTAAACTTACCAGTATAGCCTAGGAAGATTCAAACCTGTAGTAGTGTTTTTCAAGATACCATCCTTCAGCTACAGCATCTTTGTTTTAGCCCCATGCTTCTCCTGTCTGTCTGATGGATACCTGATAACTCAGTGGAAGTCTCCTAATAAATTGGTGTGCATGTAACAAACATCTGAATTTACTGGGCTAATTTGAAAAATCACAGCAAGTATGTCTTACTTGAAGTGTTTCCAAATGTTTAATACATTACTGTATTAGTAATTTGAAACGAGGTTTTTATTCTGTCCTCAAGTGTTAAAGAAAAGTCTGTCCTGCTTCGCACTTCGTGGAGCAAACAAAAGAGCAGGGAGCCTGCCGCGCCGCGCTGCCCAGCAGCGTTTCCGTAGTGTAGTGGTTATCACGTTCGCCTAACACGCGAAAGGTCCCCGGTTCGAAACCGGGCGGAAACACTGGCGAGGCTGATTCTTTCTTTGGGAGTCGGACTCGGTGATTCTTTATGTGTCCCTTCCAACTGGAGGTGCCAGAGTGTGCACAGTCTTCAGAAATCCAGGAGGGGTCTGCAGCCCTCAGACGTGTCTGTGTGTGCAGCTTATATGCACACTAAGGCAAAAAGCCTGGGAAGGAAGAAGTGGGGGAAGCAACTACGCAGTTTCCAGAGGAAGAAAAGCAGGTTGCAGCACTGATTCATTCAGTTCCTGCCGTCCAGTAGAACTGGACCTCTGTTTTCAGTACTCTGTTCTCCATTTTAGGTGCTGGCAGAGGAAGTTCAGGTTTTTTTTCTGCTGGAATTGACTGGAAGAATAGGGTAGTCACAGAGGTGTTCAGGGGCAGGTGAAGGTTTTCAGAGATGCATTAACGTGGCATTCAAATTCCACTGCTGAGGAAGGCTTTGTTGTTTTTAGGGATAGAGAAAAGAAACATCTGTATATAGGATAACAGGCAGATTCTGTTTACATATAAATATGAATTAAAATTAAGAAGAAACTTGTATCACAATATAACAGAAGGCTTACTACTAATTCTTGGATTAGAAGTTATTTATCTATGCAGGAATTCTGGCAGTGGTAAATATATTCTTTACTGTTGATTTAGAAAATTATTTTTGATTAAAGTATGTGTAGTGCCTTTATTTAACAGTGGCTTCAATCTTTTAATGGTAATATTACTGCCAGAAAAATCTGCATCACCTGCAGAAAGTGGCTAATGTATTATGGATTTTTTAAATTGCTATTAACATTAATACAAATGCTGTGGTCCTGAAAATTTCTGTTCATTTTAAAAAGAAAAATGCCAAGGAAACCTCAAACAGCAAAAATCCTAACATGCAATATAGTATTCTCTAGACTGCTTTAAAGAGAGGCAGACTGTAATGGTATTAGGCACAACTGTTAATGTGATAAACATATTACCATCTGTGCTGATGCTACCTGGAAAAAACCCTGTTGTTTCCAAATGATCTGATGGTGCCAATATGCACTCCTGGGAGCTGTGATAAAGACTCTCATACAAGTGAAAGTGTGAGGTGAAGGCAACTAATCTCAATTTCTAAGGCTGTTTGCAACAACTCCCAGGGAAAAAAAGCAGCCCCAAGCCCACAACTTCTCTCTTCCTGAGACTTCTGTATCAGAGGCTACTACTAAAATAAGTGTGGATGTTCTTCTGAAATGGTTTCACCTCATCCAGGCTGCAGTCCTACTGTGACAGGTCTGCTACAAATTCAGATTAATGCTAACATTTCATAGTAGTTTGCTCTAACAGAGTGGGATTTCCTTGAAAACTGACCTGAATGCTGATGGTTTGGGTGCAGGCTGCCCTTGCAGACTGGCACCTGCTGCCACCATCTTGGTCAGTATTCCCAGCTTCTTGGCCACTGCTGGCCACAGGCAGCACTTGAACAGCTGCAATAACTCGTGCAGATTGGCTGTGGGTTGGTTTGTGGTGTTTTGTTAACAGCTGGACTCTGATCTTAGAGGGCTTTTCCCACCTTAACGACTCTGTGATTCTATGGAATACGAGGAAAAGCTGGGGCATGTATGTATTGGAGACATGGAACTCAAGGTAAAAGACTGAGCAGAACAAGTCACTGAAAGTTGTTTCAGTAGCTTTTTATCTGCTGAGATACTGATCCCAGGCTGCTCAGGAGTCCAGTGACTCTGAACACATGCCCTCATCTGACCTGGGGAAGCAGCCAGTGTTTCAAAATAGATTTGAAACCATTTTGTTGAGTTGTGACTATGGAGTGAGTATTGATGGTCGAAACGATTTTTCAAATCACCATTCAGGTCACTTAACTGGAAATTGAAGAAAGGTTCCAGTCTCTGAAGCCTTGTTCACCTTTGGCTTCAAACAGCTGTAAAGCTAATGGCCAGAACCATGCAGGAAAATGGTCCATTTGTTTGGCATGTTGTAAATAAGATTGTTAGCACATAATGTATAATGTTATGATTGCATCCTACCTCTCACTCAAAGTCTTTGTGATTACTGAGCTGGTAGAATTGGCATTTCGCCTGGTTTTGGGATTGCTTTGCTTGTTTGCTTTTCCCCCTGTGCAATGTACATGCTTCTTATACAGAAGTTGTAGGGAAAGGGAAACTTTGGCAGAATTTCACTTTAAAAATAATACTGAATTAGAGCAAAATACTTAAGAAGTATTGACAGCCTTAATGTCTTTTTTAACTACTGGTCATGAATATAATTTTAAAACGTGCTGTTTGAGTTAGTATAGAAAATTGTGTGAGAATGTTGACGTTTGTTTGTCTTGAAGGTAACAATTTGTGTTGGATTTTTAGTGTTCATTAACATCATGTGATGGTGTATGTAGTTAGCCATGAACTTTTGTGAGGCATTCAGCAGAATGGATTGAATAGTTTGAAGTCAGTGAGATGGTTCTGGACTGAGCACAGGACAGAAATAAGTGTTTCAAGTTTACAGATGTGTTTTGTGCGTGTATGTGTTAATAGTTACATGTTGCCTCAGTAGAAGTATTGGGTAACATAAATGTGACTTGGGCTGAAAGTATTGGCTCTAAAACCTTCAATCTTGCCTTTAAAATTTAGCTTATTTCTCATGTTGCGGAAGGAAACACTCCTGCTCACCTCAGAGAAGATGCAGTGGCCTCCTTTGCTGATGTGGGATGGATTGCTGAAGAAGAAGGTGAAGTCTCTACAAGGCTCAGGTATGTTTCTAGAATCTTCTCTCTGAACTTCTGAACTGTGAGGAAGAAACTTCTCTCCAGTGAGAATCTGCTGTGCATTGCAAATTAACAGAGAGCACTTGAATGCTGGGAGAAGAGACAGAGGTAGGGTCTGGAAAAGAAGTAGTAGAGGTTAGACTCATAGGATTACAAAACCAAGACTTGTTGGAAAACATACAGGAGATTGACATTATACGAGGAAGACTCTGGATTTTATTTATTTATGTATTGAAAGAACTGCACACAATAGCTTCAAGCAATGAAAATGTCTGCTGTGCTATGGCACAATTGCTCACAGTGGTTCTCCAGTTCTCCTGAGATTGTCATTACCATGGGGCAGTGAACTGTACAGCTTCCTCATTAGCAACAATGGTCATTCTGGCAATCCAGTAATTGGCACGTTGTTTGTCACCTTCCTGGTTAAGGCTCTGCAGTCTGCTAAGTACAGTGAAAAAATTGTGGTTTGTGTTTCACATCTTTAATCTTCATAACAAAAACTGGCAGGGAAGCATGTGAGCACCTGTGTCCAGGATGCTGGGATAAGTACTGCTGTGTTGGACCAAGGGTTGTACCCAGCACTGTCGCTACATGAAACAGTTTGGCTGAAGGGATGGAGTTCTCTACCCCATCCTACCCAGGTTGCTGCTCAGACTGTCCAGAAACAAAAGTACAGTTCTGTTGTGCAGAGGAGGTTTTTCTTCTAAACAAACCAAATCTGTCAGAGAAGGGCACAGATTGTTGGCTTCAGAGATTACAGGAGGATACTGTTCTTAATTTGAAAGCATGGGTTTGAAAATAGGTTAGTAATGACCTAGATGCCCTCCAATATGACTTGCTACAGTGAAGCTTTGCATAACAAACATTCTGGCACTGCCACATTAATTTCACAAACTCAGAGGGGAGTCACAGAAATCAGCACTTGCTTGGGAAACACTATTCCTGAAGTCTGTTTGATACAAAGGAAATTAACTGTCCGATATAGTTTTGTTTGCACAGAAGTATTTTGTTTAAGGATTGAACTGTAAAGCTATTACATTTAATGGAGACAACAGGGAGAATGGCTCTTTGGTGCTTCAAAGAACCTATTATGAAAGACGTAGGACCGCATGTTTGCTGAAACTCAGCATGGGAAGGGGGGAGCGGGGACAGATGGATGTGGGATGGGACTAAAATAATCCTAGAGATACATAGTGACCTTAAGGCAAACAGCTTATGATGGAGCACAGGAAGTGAATTACTTAGCAAATATGACAATTTCAGTGTGCACTGTTTATTACGTCTGTGCAAGGTATTAGTGGAGCTGGTATGCATTAGGTGTTGAAATTCTCTGTTTCGACAGGATCACATAGGTGTTACTGTTAAATATTTATCCACTGTAAAATTTAGTAAACAGTCTTGCAGACACAGGGTTTTGGTTTTTTTTGTTTTTTTGGTTTTGGTTTTTTTTTTTTTTTTTCTGTGAATGCAGTTTTGTAGAGGAAGCAACTAAATGACAAATCATTTTTCCTCTACTCCTAGTCAGAGTAGTAGTGACAGCTCAGGCATAGTATTTTTCCGTAGTGTTAGATTTCAGTCAAGACATCTCCTTAGAATTCTATTACTGCTCTGAGCAGAAAATAGCCTTTGTTGTTTAGCTATTCTGCTCCTTTAAAGAAGTTCTGGAAGGCAGGTATTAAGGAGTGAAGTGACCACTGGCTCCTTCCACCTTACTTAGGGAGAGCAGGGAGGTGGCTGCTATAGGAGGTATCCCGTTCTCAGCTTGAGTTGCTCTCTATTCCTGTCTAGATAACACCACCTAAATTTCATCATCCATGATAATATTCAATTCTCCTTGATCAAATTTCTGCAAGCTGTGCTGATGGTTTTTGTCAGTGTCATAGAAGACTTAAATGTGTATCTAATCTTGGTTTGATGTGGTCAGAGCACGGGGCTTGTTCTGGCCTTAAATCTTAGCTCTTGCTTTAGGTCCAGCACAACTGCAGATCTAACACGATGAGCACCCACAGCAGTTTAATCCACTCATCCAGAGTGATGGGGCATTTGGGCTGAGTTAGCCTGGAGCCATTCCACGCATTTCAAAAAGTCCTTTTACCAGGCCCTATTCTCACTCTCCTGTTTAAATGAACAATGGAATCCTGGCATGCCTGACAAGTTTGGGGATTGACATCAAGGAGGATTGAGGAGTTAAGTGTGTGACCACATTTTGTGTTTCAAAGTTTATGATAATTTGTTGTCATCAATTCTTACCAATTCTACTTAGAGAATCATAGAACAGCTTGCGTTGGAAGGGACCTTGAACAGCCATCTAGTGCAAGCCCCCTGCAGTGAGCAGGGGCATCTTTAACTGGTCAGGTTCCTCAGATTATTGAGATAAACAGATTTAAAATGTGGTGTCTTTTTAAGGGCTTACTGGTCTTGTTTGAGCAGATGCTCAATAATGCCTCAGTGTTTAATATGGCTTGAGCTTTGGTGGGTATTAAGGGAAGGCAGCAGAGTTACATTTTCTTCCGAGAAGCAGAGGGAAGGTCATGGACTCTTTAAAACTGTATGGAAATTTTCTTCCCTGTAGTTCTAATTACTGTGTTAGAAAACTAGATATGACATGCTTTCCCATCAACTGGCAAGCAGTCTCTGCATCACTAAGCTGTTTCATGCACTCCATATTTCCCAATGCTGCTAAAATTGGAAATTTAAAAACTTTCTTTTTAAAAAAATTCAGAAATCCAAACAGTACAAAAAAATACCCTGTGGAACCAAGAGACTCTTCTTTATTCAAAGGAATCAACTGCAAATGGCTATTTGCTGCCCATGGGGAAAAATGGTAGCATTTAAGGGAAGAAAAATCTTAATTCAAATGAAATATACAGTAAGTGTGAGGCAGAGAAATAGATTGGGATAAGAAGAAATTTATTCCTTTTTTCTTGCTGAAACCAAGGATTCTACAAAATGCTGTCAGGGGGAAGAGAAGAAACACAGCTCATGATGCAAAGAGAAAGGATGTGGAACTCTTACTTACCTTAAACTGTTTAAGGTCTTGATGGAAGTGATTTGTATAAAAACATTTCTGAAGTCAGGTCTTCAACTTGTACCCCTGATTTGTAAGTAACATTGCTTTAGTTTTTGTCTATTTCAAAGCCCTTAAAATATGATATTTTTGTTACAGGTCAGAAGTTTGGTTAAAAACAACCCAGCCTCTTCCAGGTGAAGCACATCATTCCAGGAAGCCCCCACACAGACAAAGATCCCTGCAAAGCCCATCGGGAGAGGAGCCAGTGCCCAGGAGTGCAGCGATGGCAAACGAAGAGGCGCTGCAGAAGATCAGTGCCCTGGAAAACGAACTGGCCTCTTTAAGAGCACAGATAGCCAAAATTGTAACCTTGCAAGAACAGCAGAGCTTGACAACAGGTATTGAATTCGCTGCACTCTTAGTAAAAATTACTTAATGAATTTGTCCCTTTTATAATTACTACTGTGCTAATTCTTTTTTGTAAGATACTGCAACACCAAGCACTTCTCCATATTGTTTTGGTTAGTTTGGCACAATAACCAAGGGGTACAGAATAGGTCTTGAAGACAAATGACTTGCCAGATTTTCTGTATTTTTTAATATTCCTAAAGTCTGTAAATCTGCCAGAGCTCTGAATCTGTGAATGAGTAAGGAAGTATTAAACAGCTTTCAGAGCAAAGCTCATGATAAACATGATGGCTTAAACCAAACTAAAAGAATGTAACTTAATTACTGACACTGAAGTCTTTCCATTCAGTAAGGAAATAGGCTCTCTGATATCATTAAGTATTCATACAAGATGCTAATTATGCTTTTGGAATATGTAATATACATCTCAAGTAACAGAAAAGGCAATTAATTGTTTACTGCAATCATCTCTGGGACCAGACACATTGTCCATATGGAACCAAAAGTGGTGCACTGTTTCTGGTAGTAAACAGAATAATTCTTTTCCTGAATTTCTTTCTCCTCTTTCCATCACCTCTTGACTCCTTTCAGTTTTAAGTCTTGAAAGATTAGCAGGAGACGGCCCTGCAGATGACAGGCATTTGGTTGTCACTCTTTCCTAAGGTCACTTAACACGTACAGCTCTGCCTATGTTTGTGTATAAAATCATATTGTGATTTTTCAGATGCTCCTTTAGCTGTTAACTGATAGGAGTTACTTTATTGTTCATGAACTGCTCACATTCAAAACTATGAAATAGTTTTAAGGATCACCTGGTTTCACTCTTGAATTTTAGTTATGGAGGGGGAGGGTGGGGACATGTGAAATAACTATAAACTATTTTTTTTTCCCTTTACCTCTGTTTATTCGGGAAATTAAATTTTTATTTTATCATCTTTATCTCCCTCTTGTGGTAGAACGTGGTAATGACGCTGTATGTTTATTTCTGTAAATATCTTTACACACTTTATACTCCAAGCCTTAAAACTCTGGTTTGATCTGATTTTTCTCAGTTTTTTTAAAGGTGCAATTAAACAAAGGTTTCTTCATTTATTTGTCAGGTTATTACTGTTACTATATTTATAACACAAATTTTTACCTAAAGTATACATGGAACTCAAAATCAAGATTATTGTGAGAATCTCTATGAGCAGAGACAGATGAACCTTGGACAGCTGGAATAAGCTTCAATTTAAGCACTGTTTGAGCTCTGAAATTTACATAGAAAAATCTTGTATGTTAATTTCTTATTTGTGATGATAAGTAGGGAGAAGCACTGCTCCTGTGTCAGATTGTGACTTCCAGCTCAGTAGACTTCCTTCTTCCAGACTTTCTTCTCAGGCTCTGAGAAGAAAGGGAAATACTAGTAACATTAGGGGCAGAACATAACTAGAAGATGTCATGGCATCTGTCCCACTGCAGTAAGGACACAAATGCACCTAGAATTAGGACTGGAGTGTCAAAGGACACTTCTGACTTTTCAAGAAGGACTTTCGTGTGGCTTTTTAGCTGAACCTGCTTAGGTGGTTTAGGAACACAGAAGTTACAATCTAAAGGGGTAGAGGGGACGCAGTTGAAGTTAGTACAGTGATTTTTTCTTACCTGAGCATTTGTGACATGTGTGATTTGTGATAGTCACAAGTAAACTGACTTGTAATGCATGTTTTATTTGTAGTTGGGTCAAGTCCACTTGCTTCAGCTGCTGTCCCTGTTCCACCTCCACTGCTGCCACCACCTCCTCCTCCTCTGCCTCCACCCCCTCCCTCAAGTCTGGGTCAGAGTAAGTCTGCAATTGATCTCATTAAAGAGAGGAAAAACCAAAAAACGAACGCTGGCCAGAATGTGGTGGAAAATGGGCCAAAGAAGCCTGAAGTACCAAACATGCTAGAAATCCTCAAAGACATGAACAGTGTGAAACTACGCTCGGTGAAAAGGTAATAAATGTCAGTGTACCAAGATTGACATTAATGATTTGTTTTTCATGACTCAAAACTGTTTCAGGGTGAGACAGATGCTGATACCATTTTCTTTTCTAGATCCTCAGAAGGTACAAAACCTAAAGTGTCTCAGCCTGCAGATCCTGCAACGTTAATAGCAGAAGCTCTCAAAAAGAAATTTGCGTATCGATACCGAAATGAGAGCCAAGGTGAAACAGAAAAAGTGATTCCAAAGGCTGAAACAAAGACACAAACAAAGGCTGAGGTAGTGCTGGTGAGTATTTTGATTCTGAACAGTTCCTTGAACTAAATTATAGTTGTGCAAACCAACCTACATCTTTCTGCTAACATATGTAGGTGTTACACAAGTTAGCGTCTCATTTGTTAGGTTCACAAAACCCTGTGAAGTACTGCTGATATGCCAGGACTTTTGCAATCAAATGTTTTTAGTGGCAAGTCTTAGGACTGTGTACTGTCTTGGCCCTAGCTTTAAAAAAAGTCCTGTTACAGTTTTGCTATCTTTTAAAACAAGAATGTTTTCTGTTACCACAGCATCTGATATTCAGAAAGCCATTGCTAAGGGCTCACATCAAATCCAGTCTGAACTGAGTTTGCCTGTTATTACCAACCTTAACCATTCACCTGGTGCAGGTGAAACATACCAGACATTCCTAGGAATTTGGAAAATAAATTGTTCACAATGCCTGCTGGATCTTGGTTCTTTGGTATAGGGAGTTTCTTCTAATAATTGGAAATGCTGAGCATATGAAAGCAGTTTCTTTATAGCATGAGAATGTTAAAATGAAACTGTATTTGAAGTTCACCTCCTGGCACAAGTTATAAATGACTAATAATTGATTGCAGATGAATTTGAATTTGGTTTTTAAGCAGTGAACATTCAAAATACAAATCTCTATCAATGTACACTTAAAAACCAGCCTGGTATAGATCAGTTTTGTTTGTCAGCAATCCTTGAAGCCTTGTGCTGTGGAACCAGAGAGGAAGAATAAGGAGGTGTTTTTTTTTCATTTGTGCAATTGAAAAAAATGCACATTAAAGTCCAAAAGATGAATTACATTTTAAGGAAAATAACAGTTTGTTGCCACAAATCTCAGGGCTTTTGAGTACTTCAGCTAATTAATGTTGACTTACTTGCCTTTTGGCCTCTACTGGTTTATTTCTGTAATGTTCAGGCTGTTCTTCTCAAATAAAAGGCTAGATGTTTCCCAAGAATTAATCACATTTCCTCAGCATCTCTGGTGCATTAAGGAGAAGAACACAAGTTGGCAATGTTTATTCATACAGGGTTTTTTAATGATTTTCTGTTCTTGAAATTTACAGTCCACGTTTGGCAATAAAGGATGATCAAGTTCTCAAGAGCTAAGAAAGCTGAAGATTTTCATTAAATGATAGAATGTTGATCCATCATGAGCTAATAAAATCTGTCCATCAGTTACTTCCCAGTAGCTAACTTTGTTAGACTTGTATGACAGTTCTGAAAGGGACTTGCACAGACACGCAGGGTAGAGAAAGAGCAGAAGCACTGTTAAACTGCGGCTGGAGCAGTTGGTTGTTAAGGTGGAAGGATTACTGTGTCCATCTCATTGTACTGTGCTGGAGCAAGCTCCTTGGCTCCCTCCTCTGAGCAATTTCAGCTGTTGCTAACACAAGTTTTTCCCTTTACTTTGTGACATCCATATGCAGAGAAGCAGGGTGGTAAAGGAAATAATTTCTGCCCAAGTTCTGCTTTTACTGCTTGGATAGACAGTAGTTCCAACAAGGGGTCTGCTGAAAGCAATCTGAACATGTTTCTGGTTTTCTTTCCAGTTTGGACCACACTTGCTGAAGTCTACAGGAAAAATGAAGACTTTAATTGAAAAATCTTAAAGATTATTCTGCAAAAGACTGTTAAGCTGCTTTGTATAAAATATTTTATGTTGCAAATAGCACTAGTACTGAGAGGTCTCTTTTCTTACAGCACAGAAAGATCTAATGTGAAATGCAGAAACGAGGCACTAAACATGTTTGTATGTAGGTGATTTATCAAGGGCAATAAATTGGACCATTATACTCAGGTATTAATTTTGTATTCAAGCTTGGCTTTCCACTCAGATTTATGTGACGGATTTAGTTTATTAACACTAAGTTATATATACAACATTTTTTGTGCATAACTGACCAGCATAAAAATTTGTGTACATGTTATTAATGATGGTGATACACCCTTAACTTAATACCAGTTTTATGTGAGCTCGACCTATAATTTGCACTACAATGTGTAATTTTATACTGAAATCTTCATGTTGAAGTCTTTCTTTTAAACTTAACTGCAGCAAATTTGTAGCCCAAAGAAAACAAGAAAACCTGGAGGCACTGTGCTTCTTACTGAGACAAAGTGAAAACTTGAACTTGCTGCAGAGATCCTAAATTAAAAAAAAAAAAAAAAAAGAAAAGAAAACCAACTAAATTTTACATAGTAGTACATTTTTGTGCAGGGTTTTTTGTTTGTTTCACCTCAGCTTGCAAGGGTAAGAGAGTAAAACCTGCTTTAATCATCCTGTGGCCATTATAAAGAGTAAAATCATGCTGTGGGAGCCTCTGTCAAAAGGCAGTCAAGGGAATTTGAAATAGTCAATAAATAGCAGCAGATTAAAATAACAAAGAGTATGTGTTAATTAGCATGAAGTGCTGTAAATAAGAAAACAAAGGTACAAAGTACTGTGGGGTGCAAGTTGCCAAAAGCAGCTCATCTCTGGTGCTCTAGGAGGTGCTCCTGGACACCTTCTCCCCAGCTTGGCTCCCTGGGTACGTTTCTGGCAGGTGGGGCTTGCACAAGCCTTGTGGCCCCCTTTGCAGGGAAGGGATGGATAAGCTGTTGCCCATAACCCATTTTCCAGGGGAAGCCCTTCTGATGCAGCAGCTGTACGAAGCACCTGAGCTCATGTCTCCAGCCACAGGTGTAGAAAGGCTCAAGCTGAAGTACAAGTCAGGGTGAAAAAAGCTGTTCAGGAACCAAGAGCTGCAGTTGAGGTGCACGCTGAAACAAAGCCATGGTTTGCTCTGACCATGGATGAGCAGTGGAAAAGCTGAGCTTGGCTATTTTTGGTGCTCTAAGCTGATCCCAGCTACTGGGACAAGTGCAACTGCCTCTAGGAGCTTCTGTTTCCTAGGAGAAGACAAAAGCAGTACTTTTTTAATAAAGACAGCTGAATGGCTCTGACAAGATTACTGAAGATGGGGAAGCTTTGCTGCTTATAACTGGAATGTAGGTTGTACATGGAGGAGCTTTGTTTTCCGGTGTGGAACTTGAAATGGTGTTAATACGTACGCAATGTAACTCCCTCCCTTCCAAAGTGCTCTGCCATCAGTCCTACTGATTGATCTTCCAATCCTTCAGTTCTTTTAAGTGCCTTTAAAACACCTTTGTGAAAGTTAACTTTGGTTTTAAGTTTTGTATCTTATGCTCTATTGCCACTATATAAAATTAAAAGCAGATAAAATAAAGATGGCATATTTGATTTGTGGTACTCTACAAATGATAGTAGCCACAAAAATAGAAGTTTCCGTTCTATTGCAGTGACTGTAAATCAGTGTAGTGACAACCTCCTTGCATCTCCTCCAGGGCTGGTTTGCTTACCTTGCTGTGCAGCAGGAGTACCAGCAGGGGGGAAACAGCCCGCACTGTTCATTCAGGCGCATGCTGGCTGAACAAACCAACAACCAGCCAGTGGTTCTCAGGAGTTCTGAGGAGTTTATGCCTCACCCACAGATAGCAGGAAGGGACTTGTTCAACAGCCTCTCCATCTCCTGGTACACTCACTTCCTCTGGCACTCCAGTTAAATCATTAACTTGTAAAATTCAAGATGTCACTTGACCTGTTAAACCAGGCTAAAGCATGAGAATCGTCCGTACCAGACACAGCTCACCTGAACGGAGGTATCCAGCACCAGAAATAAGGTGAGCTTTAGCAATGATGTAAAATTACTGCAAAAGAAATGGCATCTGTGCTAGAAAATCACAAAGTTGCTATCAAATAACTTGTCTTACCCTGTACCTTAATGTGTATCTGTTTCCTTGAAATTGCACATAATGCCACTAGCACAGAGAACACCTTAAGTGCTCAAAGCCATGGATGCTGGGCCCCCTTGGACATAAGCTGAGGCCCGTTTGTGTCTCTCTGTGTACAGAGCAGTGCTGGGAGCAGATCTGTGACCTGGAACAGCTCGGGGGCCTGGCCCCTTCCCCAGCCGCGTTCTGGGCTCCAGGGGCTCCTGGTGGCTCAGGGGCTCTCAGCTCTCAGCAAAGTGCTGAAGCTGCAGGAATGTTAAAGTTCAGTGTGGATTTGTAGAAGGCACTTCCAGCCAGCATGGAAAAAACATTTTTTCTTATTTCAAGTCCAATGACAGACACTTCCACATGCACGAAGGGGGATTAGAAGCAGCCTTTCTAAGTCCGGTCTGGTAGAGAGACCCCTTCCCAGGAAGGATGGCTTAGAATAAAACTGCTTTTCTAGGTCCTGTCAGAGCAAAGGATACAAAAGTTTGCACAATGTTAAAAATCATAGGCTCTTTATAAATACTGTTAAAATACTCCATATACCTATTTGTAAAATTATTAATCTTAATTTTCATTAAAATTACATATTAACATATGCCTGTAACAAATAGCAAAATTTAAAATGCAGTTGATGCTCTTTAAACCAAGTTCATTTTTTACAAATGTGTCACAGAAGGCATCAGACTGATTTTAGTTGTCATTTTGAAAATAGCTGCAGGTTTGGCATGTGTTTCATTAAAAAGGTCCCAGAGGAATCAGTACTTGTCCACATTTAACCCAGTTAAGTGCTGCTCTGTACTAAGTTTCTCTCAGTTTCTCTGTGCTAAGTTACACACACAGTTCTTACCTCTGTGTTCTCCCAGCTTTAAGCACCCTTTCAAAAGCAACCTGTCAAAAATGGCTCTTCTCTCCTCAAAATTACAACCAGAGCTCCTTGTCCCATCTGATCCTTCTCTGTTGGAGTCAACATCAAGAACTTGCACTGACAGCGAAGGAAGGAAGTTCACGCAGGCTCAAAAGAATGGTTTCATTAGAAATTTATTTCTTTAAACATGGCCACTTTGAGATTAATGATACTACTTCAGGGAACATGAAAGAATAAACAGTTTTAGAAGGGAAACAATCAGGTAAGTCAGGATTTGCTTTTCAAACAGTAAAAGGCCAAGCTCCAAGAGGCAATAAATTTTGGCATACGAGGACTAGTATTTTCAAATCCAAAAGTTGGCTTAGTTTTACAGTGGAAGCTGACTGCAACCTTAGCTACCTTTCCACAACGCTGGACTCAGTCATAACTTAAATGTACAGGAGCATAATGTGAAAAGATTTTGTTTTATTAATTAAAAGTTAACAGCAACAGGCACATATTAAAATGAATATGGCAAAGCCTTTACAAATGGCTTTACGCTGAAGCTCTCTTCCAAAAATGGCTGTTGCAACAAACTGTAAACAGAATTAATAAACAGTCTTTTACAATAATAACAGGGAAATACAAATGAACTAAAAGAAAGCACCAGTTTCTCAAACTAGATTACAGTTGTGCTTACTGTACTTAAAACAATGTAAAACAAATTACAAAAATGGAATGTTTTAAGTTTAAAATTAGTCCTTTAATTTTGTCCTAAAAAACATTTTCTCCTTTTCCCATCAAAAACCCATCAGTGGGTAATGTTTCAGTAGAGGGAGGAATACGTAAACAATGCACTTTTTTTTATTATTTTTTTTCAAATCAAAAACAAATTTGGTCACTTAGCTTTGTGCATAGTTTAAGGCATCTGTAGCAATTTGTTACAGTTTCCTCCCCAGTGTGGCTGTTCATGAAATTGTCACATTCTAAAAGAATAAATTAAAAAAAAAAAAAAAAGAAAAAGAAAAAATGTTGCCGTTCAAACCCTTCCCCGAGCCCTCCCGCCCTCCCCCGTCCCAAACGTACTCACACACCCACACATACACACACGCTGCAGCGAAAGGGGCATTTGTACCCTTGTTCTGAAGGACACGCTTCCCATCCCACTTTATTTCAGATTGGCAAATACCCTGAGCTGATTATGGTGTTTAGACATTCCACCTTTTTCTTGCATGTGCAGTTCAAGTGTACAAGAGTGAGAACAACATGCGATGTTCCCACTGCAGAATCGCAATGCAGTTCGGACGCTTCCCCCCCACCCTTCCCTTCCCAGATTCAGAAGTGTTTTTTCGCCGTTAAAAAATTGCATTCCCATATAGCACTGGAGTAAAGCTTGGCTGTGCTCTATGATGAATGCTCAGTTCCCAGTGCACAAACAAAATTATGGCAAATGGGAGGCTTTTCTGGCATCCAAAGAAACAAGAGCTGCAGTCTCAAATTTGATCTTTTTCTTTTAAAAAAGCAAAAAACCCAAGTTAGTGGTTCCTTCACAGCCATGCGCAAAGGTTAAGTCTAGAACCGACAGTTTCAGAGTACATTTGTAAACATCAAGTCTCGCCAGAGGCAGCAGAGGATGGGCACTTCACATTTCCGTATTAAAACAGGGACTGAGTGGAAGGTATGCTTTGAACACATTTACGCAAGTCTTGCTAAATTCCGAGGGAGCGGAACAATCCATGTCAAGTCTTGGATTTGAAGACCGTATTCCAAATATCACGAGAAAAGCCAAGCCACGGGGCACGGAGATGCTTTCGTCCCGTTGCTCCAAGGCTCAGCCGCTGCTGTGCTTTGCATATTCGAGGTTCCGAACGACAACCAACTGAGGCGGGTGCATATTGCTCTATGTTCAGATCCGGCGGCTTAAAAAAATTCTGGGTCAAATGGTCTGTGTCAAAGGAAAACTTGGAAATAAATAATGCTGGCATCATTTTACCATTCTACCAAAACCTTGGGCTGGCATGTGTCTCCTTTAATCCAACCGTGCGGATACCGAGGGAAGAGGCAGTTTTGTCATGGAGATTGAGGTCAGGACAATCGAGGTTCCTGAGGTAAAATGTCTGAGTCCATTTCCTCAAAAGTGGGGTCAACATCGTCACCGCTGCCCGACTGTTCCCTCTGCACTCCCTTCCAGCTTGCCTTGTTCAGTCCCAGGTGGCCAAGCATTGTCTGTGACAGCCTCGTGTTGGAAAACCGGGCCCATTCCCCAAACAGTGGTTCCACTAAGTAAGTCATAAAACCTTCAAAAACAAGCAAACAGAGGCAGATTAAATAAAAAAAAAAACAATACAGAGAAAAAGTAAAATACTTATACCAAATACTTTAAATAGCATTTAGTAGCAAATAATAAATGCGTCAAACTACTGTTCTCCAATGTGCATTTAAATATTCATTTAGATATTTTGGGAATCTTTACAAAAAAACTCTCAAAATGTAGAAGATTTTACGAATCAGTCAGAAGAACAGCAATACACTGCATTACAAATTAACCTTCTTTCTTTCACAGCAATGACCAAATGAAGACAAATACTGGACAATATGGAGGGGGAGAGAAATCTAAACATCAGCAACTAAGTCACAATTTAGAAAACCTAAAGTTCTAAAAGATTTTATAATTAATTACCCTTCAGTGTGTCTGAATTATTCTACATGGGAAAAAAAGAATATATTGTTTTCACAATAGTAGGGTGACTAAAAATA